AGAGAGAGAGAGAGAGAGAGAGAGACATTAACATAAATGTTGAGACAGGATTATGCTTTTTATAATATAAATTCATTTTGAGATTGCTTCTCCATCTCTTTGCCTTCCTCTCCCAAAGACTGATGATTTGACGCTTCTTCGGAAAGCTTCAATGTTCAATTTGCGCAAAAGTTCAAGAAATACATGAGTTTTGAGTGGCCTTGTCGTCAATCACACAAGACCTTTACCGATTGTGTTCTACTTCTTTTGTCCTTCAATAATATGCGCAAATGAAAATGTTTCATTTATTATCGCAACAAATCTAACAATAAACTTGTTACATGATGAGAAATCTATTATGTTTGTTACCATATTTGGCTTTTTTCCCATCTATACTCATGTGAATATGATTTTCATTCAAATTATGCTAATTATAATGCAATTGTTGAGAGGGAAAATGAAAATTTTCTTTATTAACTATTGGAAAGTTTAAGCTACAACTTGAGAATATTCACGTTTGCTTTATAGCTCTCAATTGCTTATATCTGTTGGCATGTCTCGTTCAGCTCTTCTTTTTCTTACTTGAGTTCAATTTTTTTCATCTTCGTTCGTCTTGCTATTCTCATATTCTTTGTCTATCTCTCATATCTTCTGTTACTTCTTCTGATGATATTGAAATCTCTTGAGTTTCCGCTGGTGTTGGTCTTTGCATGTGGCTTTGCTCATCTTCACAATTCGCCCTTCGACGTTGTTTACACTTAACTTCAGGTGCTTTGCTTTTTGACGACCTCTCAAACATTTTTCAATAATCGCGTAAACTATACGGATACTATTTTTTTGTTTCTACATCTTAAAGATGCATCAATGCTTTAAGAAGTTATCATCTTGGAATGTTGCGAGAGTGTAGAGTAGAGTGAATGACGACAACACGTCGTTTCATCAGTCACAAAACGTTTCATCTCAACTATTCACTTCATAATGACGCAAAAAACTTCTCAAATGTCTTCTTTTTGTTTTTTGAGCTCTTTAAGTTCTTTTCAACTCTTGCGTTGTCAGTCTCTGCCAACTATTTGATGATGAAATGCCGTCTCTCCATGGAAAAACGTCATTTTTCCTGTATTTCAAGAGTAATTACATGTTGTTTCATCTTCTATTCTTCATCATCATCATCATCATCCGAAAATTCTTTTTTCCCATCTCTATCACATGTCTTAATCTTGATTTTTGTTGTTTTTTTTTCTCCCTTTTTCGAAACATTATTTGGTAATAAGAGTGAATGAGATCAGCAAATGTTTCGAAAACGGAACCATTCTCTTATTGACTTCTACACTTCACATCGCAACAATATTCATGAAACTTCATTTTCAATGTTTCAATTGGCATTGCTTTGCTTCTTGCCGTACAAATGAGTTTGATTCTTCTTTGTTTCGCCTTCATTTCCCTCTATTTCTCTCTATCTCTCTCTCACTCTCTCTCACTCTCTCACTATTCAAATGATTATTTGTAGTTAAGACAGTAGAATAGAAAGAATGTGCTCAATATTGCGTCTTATTTCAATTATGAAATGTGAGTGAGAAGAAATAAGATTTTGTCGTCATTATTCGTTGATATTAGATTACTAACAGTCCTTTGAGCATCATCGTTGTGTCCTTTTCTCCACTCTCACTTCCTCTCCAATTACATTCCTCTTGACTTTTCTTTTTTTTTTATAAGAAAATATGAAAAAAATTGATATGAGAGTAATGTTATGTTATCTTTGGCGCCATTATTGATTATCAAAAAATATTTTTTTGTTCTCATCTCTCAGATACAAACTATGAAATCCGCTTGTTTACTAGTTAGGGAATCACCAGATTGAGCGCCAAATACGAAAAGAAAATTGTTTTTTCTCATTCTCCATCACGCAATCGCTCAATCATTGTTGTGTTGTTGTCTTGTTAGGTTGTTTATAGATTGATTGTTACAGAACATTGATTGAGGTTGCTGTAAGTCAACCTTATGTTGTTCAAAAACTTTCGAACCATATTATGTGGTGAGGACCATAATAAGGTGATGACTTGCTAGATATCATTGATACAACTGTTTGTTTTGTTTTATTAAGGTTCTACATTCTAGTTCATATAATGAATCATATCCAGTGTTTGAGAATTGCTTTCATCATGTAGATCTATCATGGATTCCAACCATTTTTCTTTTTCTATCCATTCCACTTGTACTATATGATCTTCATAAGAGTCGACGAGAGCCAATTGGCTTTTACTCTCCTGCAACTCTTCGTATTGTAAGTTTCATGTCTTATCGTATAACAATCTTTGTTTTTTGTTATAGTTTCTTGCTATTGCTATCCTCATAGTTCAAATCATTACATTTGTGCGAAATACTGCTGAAGTCTTACATAATAATGAATCAGCTGTCTATCTTATTGGAGATGGCTTTCAATTCTTTGGTAAGCATACGTTGTCTTATATATGTGGTTAGTGATACTGTTAAGGTGTTCTATTAACTCTTGTGTTGACTATTGCTTGTAAGAACAGAGGTGTTGTCTCATCTGGAACCATATGCCTCTTCTGGACTATGATGATCATATGTGGACTACCCGAATTTATTTCCGTGTTGATTGCTGATGATGAGGTTTGATTCATTTGTTTAATCAATTGTGTTGAAACATTAACACACTTGAGCTGTTTCCAGGAACCGTCTGTTTCCAGCTTCCGTGGTCTAACTCATGCCATTTTCTATTTATTATGCGTCGCCGAGTTCATCTTATCTATTGTAGCCGATCCTGTTCGGGAGAAGTGGAGAGGCTCAAACGTTCAGCATCTTTCTTTATCGTCTTACTGTATCAATGTTTTAGGCAAAGCCGTGTCCTGAAGCAGATGCATCCTTCTTTTCTCGAATCACTTTCACATACTTCAACAGCTTGGCAGCAGAAGGCAACCGTGTTCCATTGGAAAGACGCCATCTCTGGGATTTGAGTGACGAAGACTCTGCCAAGTTTGTCTATGATGATTTCCATGTTCATTTTGACAAAGAAATGACAAGTTTCATTGCAGTAGGTGTATGATCTTGAGCTTTCATCATTTCAGAACTTCGACAGTTTCGCGAATCTCATCCAGATGTTGAATTAACCGGAGATACTAAACCTTCCATCTTCAAACCCATCTTCCAGACTTATAAGCTTTCATTCATTGGAGGAGGATTCATGAAGCTATGCTTTGATACCGTCCAGTTCGCAGCACCTCTTCTTCTGTCGCAACTTATACGCTTCATATCAGTTCGTTTGATCATGTTCCCAGTTATTACAATTCTCTAATTTTTATTTCAGCATCCTAGCTTACCACGTTGGGTGGGATTCTCAATTGCTTTGGCATTGTTTCTCTTGACGACAGCACAGTCATTGTTTCTCCATCAATACTTCCATATCATGTTCAAATGCGGGATGAATATTCGATCTGCACTAACGCAAGCTGTCTATAGAAAGGTAAGTCACTTGCTCCTCGTTGTAGAATTACTTTCCAGATGTTACGTCTCTCAAGCAGCTCACGCAGAACCATGTCTACAGGACAATTTCTGAATCTTGTTAACGTTGATATTCAGCGACTACAAGATATGACATCGTTCATTATGCTGTTCTGGTCAGCTCCACTTCAGATCATCATTGCCATTTTCTTTCTTGTTCAATTGATGGGACCATGCATTTTTGCTGGTATCGCTATACTCATTGCACTACTGCCTTTCAACTCGTATATTTCGGTCCAAATGAGAAACATACAGGTATTATATCAGTATAAGCTTGCATACTCTTGCCCTCGTAGATGGACCAAATGAAGAAGAAGGATCAGCGCTCGAAAGTCATGACTGAAATGATTGGCGGAATCAAAACGATCAAGTTCAACGCATGGGAGTCATTCGCTGAAAAATTGGCTCGTTGTTTTTATTATTCAATATTACAATTTAATTATAGATCTCCGCGATTCGAGTGAAAGAAATCGGAATTCTTCAAAAGCTTGCTCTAATGAGTGCTAGCACTACGTTATCATGGGCATGTGCCCCATTCCTGGTAATGTACCATACTTCTCCATATTTCATTCTGGTTTTTCAAGGTAGCTGTACTATCTTTCGCAATTTTTGTCTTCATCGACCCGGTGAACAACGTTCTGACTCCTCAAATTACATTTGTGGCGCTGTCTCTTTTTAATATAATCAGATTCCCGCTAGCAGTGTTTGCAATGATCATATCACAGGCAAATGACTTATGACAATTTTTATACCTTTCAAATCTTTTCAATACAGGCGGCTCAATGCTTAGTCAGTAACCAACGCTTGCGAGATTTGTTTTCTATGGAAGAGATTGACGAAAAAGCTGTTGATCATAACGAAGGCGGTGGTAAACTTACCACAGAGAGGAAATGAACGTTGATTCTTGTCCTTCAGATCTCGCAGTGAAATTGGAAAATGCAACTTTCTCTTGGGAAAAGGGGGCCGATAATCATCTAAATGATTGCACATTGAATATCAAAAAAGGATCTCTAGTTGCTATTGTTGGAAGAGTTGGGTCGGGTAAAAGCAGTCTGTTAAACGCTATTTTGGGTTTGCAAGTTCAACTGTTTATCCAGAGTGAAGAAAAATGGTTTTTCAGGAGAAATGAGCAGAGTGTCTGGTTCCGCCAATGTAGATGGAACAATTTCTTACGTCCCTCAAGATCCTTGGATAATGCATTTGTCAGCGCGAGAAAACATATCTTTGGATAGCTCAATTTCGGATGAGTTCTATGAAAGGATTGTCAAATGTTGTGCACTCGAACCAGATTTCAATAATATGCCTCAAGGAGACTCGACCATCATTGGAGATAGAGTATTATACACATAATAATACAAGTTCCCTTAATAACTGTCATCTCTCAGGGAATCAGTTTGTCTGGCGGGCAGAAACAAAGAATTTCTTTGGCAAGAGCGATTTATGCTCGTAACGATATCTACTTGATAGATGATATCCTTGCTTCTGTTGACGCACATGTAGCTAACCATGTTTTCAAACAAGTTTTATGTAAATTTTTATTTCTCAACATATACTATCTAATAACTTTCAGCCAAGAAACATGGTCTACTGAATGGTAAAACAAGAATGTTCATCACCAACAGAATTCAAAATTTGAGCGGATGTGATCAAATCATTTATATGAAAGGTGTTGGATGAAAATGAGAGTTTCATTCGAGTTCTTTGTAGATGGACAAGTATCGGAAGTTGGTTCATATTCACAGCTTATGGAGAACAATGGTGCATTCAAAGAGATGGTCGAAGAGTTCTTAACTCAAGAACGGCGAAGCAAGATTAAAAGTGCAAGCGAACAATTCCAAGGTTTTTGAACGAACGATCGTTTATGTTAGAGATAAGCTTTCAGATACAGATTTGGTTATGCTCGAGGAGACAAATTCTGAAAGTGAAGCATCAGACAGCCTCAGTCTTGCAGTATTTTTCCAACATATTATCAAGAAAAACAGATGTGTTTCTTTAAGAGTACCCAAGATAGCAAATCTGATATTGTGGAGAATGAATCAACCGCTCTTCTTCCGGCCACAAACCAAACACAAAAAAAAGTTTTCAGTCAAGACGCTCAAGAACAAGTGAAAACCGGTCAAGTATTAATATTTTTTCAAGTTAAACGCTACTGATATGACTTCAGGTATCATTCAGCATTCATCTAGCTTATTTGAGAGCTATTGGAATACCGTTAGTCAGCGCCTTTGTTGTTGTATACGTTTTCAGTTCGATACTTGGGGTTAGTTAAAACTATATCGGGAAATTAACTTTCTTCAGGTTGGTAGTAATTTGTGGTTGGCTAAATGGTCAGACGAAGCCAAAGAGATTGCATTGAAGAGTAATGGAACATATGGAGAAATTTTCCATCAGCTCGGTGTTTACACATTGTTGGGTCTTGGACAAGGTCTTGAAGAAAAAAATAGTTTCCTCAACAATTCTATCTTTAGCATTCTCCGTTTGTGGAGCTTCTGCTTTGATGGCACTTGGAATGGTTAGAGCAGGTCGTGTTCTTCATGACGATATGCTGCATAAAGTACTAAGAGTACCAATGTCATTCTTCGATACAACAGCAACTGGTAAAATAATGACAAGGTTTAGTAAGGTAAGCATATCAAACGTTTTAATTGCATGTAGCATGGTATGCGTGTACAAAAACTAAGCCGTGAGAACATTAGACTTCCACTCACTAGTTTGGTGTGCGCTGTTTTTTAGTTGAGCACTTCCATGCTTTGTACTATCCTAACTAATGTTATGAACTCTCCAACCCAGGATATCGAAGTTGTGGATACCCGTCTGCCAGCAGCACTTCTCACTTTTACTGGAGCAATCGTCCAAGCAATAATTATATTGTTTGTCCCCATATATACAACGCCATTAATTGCTTTTGCCATTCTACCCATCCTGCTATTCTACTACATGATATTGGTGAGTCAAGTACAGTTTATAACCATCCCTTCCTCCATTAACTGAGTTGATAATTGACAGTTTGCCGCATTTTGCTCGTTGCTCATTCTTTCACTCATATCTAAAGCTTGAAAAAAAAATTGGAAATTTTAAGGACTTAGATAACTTGGATGTTCCACTACCTCGTTCAGTAATGAACACTGCGCGTACATTCAGCTTGTTAGCAGAGCAATGTGTTATTGCTGTTTGGGTTTTTCCTTTTGCGGGATCCTTATTTTGTCCTCTAGTACTCTATGTGCATAAAATTTTGGTTGGTTAATGCGAATTTTCATGAAAATCTCCTTCTATTATGATTCCATCTAAGAATTTCAAAAGGAATCTTTTTTACATTCTTTCAGAGATACTATGTAAGCACTTCACGACAACTCAAACGGTTAGAATCAGCTACAAGAGCTCCGATCAATTCGCTCCTACAAGTTTATATATGAATTAAACTTTTTCTTCATTTTTTTATTATAGGATACTGTGTTAGGAGGATCTTCTATTCGAGCGTTTAGAGAAGAAGAACGGTTCGAACAGGAATGTGCAAAACGTGTAGACGATAACATAGTTACATATTATCCAACTATTGTTGCTAATAGGTATAACATGTAAACATGCGATTATAGAATGTCTCACTTTCAGATGGCTAGCTGTTAGATTAGAGCTGGTTGGAAATTTAATTGTGTTATTCTCTTCTGTATTTTCGGTACTCTATCGAGGTAGTGACGGTGTTACTGCTGGTCTGGTTGGATTGTCCATCGCTTATTCTCTAAACGTTAGCATCTCTTTACATTCAATCAATTTTTCATTGATTTGTTAATGTCTTAGATTACTCAAACATTGAACTGGGCTGTCCGAATGACGAGCGAATTAGAAACAAACGTTGTTGCAGTAGAAAGAATTCAAGAGTATACAAAACTAGAAGTAGAAGGTATGAAAAAAGAATTGTTCAAAGTAGCAATAGTTTAGGTTCGAAAGACACTGATCATACACCCGTGCCGACTGGATGGCCTCGAAATGGAGAAATCGTTATTAAAAACTTGACTGTGCGGTATGAAAACCGGAACATAACGAGAAAGTATAATTAGCAATTTCATTTAAGATATCGTCCAACAACAGAATGTGTTCTGAAAGGGCTATGTATGAACATCAATGCCAATGAGAAAATTGGAATAGTTGGAAGAACTGGGTCTGGAAAGAGTACTCTCGCGTTATCCTTATTCCGGATAGTAGAAGCTGAGAAAGGAACAATTGAAGTAGATGGAGAAAACATAGCAGATTTCTCATTAGAGGTTTGAAAATGACACTTAAAAGTCAAAAATAACAAGTCCATCTTTCATAGAGCTTACGTTCGAAAATGACTATTGTTCCTCAAGATCCTTATCTGTTCTCAGGGACTCTGCGAATGAACCTCGATCCTACAGGAACCGCTGGTAGCATTTTTCTTGCTTAGAGGATAAATTGTTTAATTCAGCTGAACACGAAGTATGGCATGCACTCCAAGCGTCGTATCTGGATAACTTCATCGCCTCATTACCTGGTGGCTTGGCATACATTGTTTCTGAAAACGGAGAAAATATCAGGTTGAATATTTCTGTCAAGACCATATTTCGTAATTTGTTTTAGTGTCGGACAAAGACAGCTTATTTGTCTCGCTAGAGCTATTCTACGTAAATCAAAGATTCTGGTTCTGGACGAAGCCGCTGCTGTTGTGGATGTCGAGACCGATAGTCTTATTCAGAAAACTATCAAAAAAGAGTTCAAGGACTGCACTGTGCTTACAATTGCTCATCGGATATCTTCGGTAAATGAGCTATATCATATAATTAATTTTATGCTGCAAAATTACAGGTGACCGATTATGATCGCATAGCAGTAATGAGTGATGGAAACGTTGTTGAAATGGACAGCCCTAAAGTGCTTTTGGCGGATCCAAACAGTTTGTTCTATGGATTGGCAAAAGCAGCTGAGATCTCATCTTCACAGAAGAATGAAAGTAAACCCAAAAACTGAAAAGAAGCATTCGAATAATCTAAGTTTAAACTACAACGATACTTATGTCGTATATTAATTCCTATTTAGTCATTTTGTCTAGCTATCTGTGTTTTTTAAGGCAAAAAAAATATCGAAGAGAGAAAAATATTCTTCTAAATTCACAATATTGTTTTAAAATGGAATTGGATATTAAAGGTCTATTTAATAAATGCTAATATGCGTAATATATGCCTAGATTTTTAAGCTTGGAGCTAAAACATTTGCATATTCATATATGCTAATGAGCTCGCATATGCGGGTTCCCTAATCAGCTCGCGATTATGCAAATGAGCTATTAGGTTGCTATAGTAACCTGTGGACCAACCTGGCAACCCTAGGGACCCCCCTAGGCGAGTAGGCGGTACCCTACAGATTTGCCGCCTATATGCAAATGAGCTCGATTACGAAATTACCCTAATAAGCTGACCTAGGAATGCGCTCAGGTGTGATCTCCCATACAGGATTCCACTCAAGCGCAGCTAGGTGTATACCCAAAAAAGCTCACCTGGGTAAGTACCCAATTGATCTCACCTAGGTGTAAACCTTATTAGGCTCACCTACGTGAGCATTCAATCGAGGTCACCCAGGTGGAATTTTGGTTAGAATCACCTGGGCTCATGCTCAAGTGAGTTGGATGGTAAGATACAGTTACTTATATGGACATTCGAATGAGCTTAAACTATCGACTACAATATATACAAGCATTATAAAAAATCTTCACAGAATTGCATTAAAAATGATTCGCATACGAGTTGAGAGGTAAAAAAATAAAAAAAATCTTAAAATCGTAAGAGTAATAGAACTGAAAGAAGAAGGGGAATATAATTGCAGTAAACAACGCCAGAATTCTGTCTAGATGTCGGTCTCTCTTCCCATCCTTTGGTCATTAGTTCTCCAATGCCATCCCATGTGCCATTGTGATCGTGATCTGGCTCGACTCCCAGAATGTTCAAAAAACACTACAATATTGATGGTTGATCAATGAAAGGATTATTGATTTGGATTACTTGGTAAAGATCGACTAACGCCAATTCTCCTCCTTTGACATTCTCTTTGAACGCTAAACGACTATTTTATAGTGTTGGTGTTTGGAAAATCGATACCTGGTCCTCGAGCTACAAAAATTCCGTGTAGTTCGTTGATTTCTGGTTCCCAGCCACTTTCCATCTTCAATTCCCGTTGATTTTCAGTTGGGGATGGGATAGAGGATAGTTCCCGCTATGATATACATATTTTCAAAAATGAAAAGAGATCTCGAATTACCGTGATAACACTTGTTCCAGGCTTAGTTATAAGTACAACACCACTCATGAAAGGTGAATCTTTCCAATGAAGTTCTTCGGGTAGTTCAGACATCTGATACACCAAATGAACATTGTCTGAGAATATGATACATACCTTGAAAACTTTAACCATTGGAACGTCAGAGTCGTCATAATCACCAGTAGGAGCCCATTGATCACACACACGGAGTTCGAAATGAATCTTAAAAAAAAATAAAATTTGATTAACAATGAATTCAAATATTCTTACCGGTCCCTCATCTTCTGGGTCTGTATAAATCATCATCATTGAATGCGAATTGACCACTTTTTTTATCTGAAAAGAAGATTTCAATTTCATTGTTACAACGGTTTCTCACTTTCGAATAATCAGACAGACATTCTTCGACATAAAACTGTTCTTCTTCTAACATCGGCACTAATCCGTGGTCTGAATAGACAATCAAGTTTGTCGTTTCCCAAAGATTTTGATCTCCAATAAGTTTCTTGAAAATAGACGTTTGAAGAAAAATGTAAATTTTGATACATACCTGCAGTTCATGTAAGTAGAGATCAATACGAGTAAGAGCTTGATCAGTTTCATCTGAATTGGCTCCGTGAGTCTTTTGAGCATGAGCTAGACCAGAGAAATGTATAAGAAACATCTTCAAAACAACAAATGAAAAAGACATTAGAGAAAATCAATCAAACCTGCTGTCTATACACTTCATACTTCTTGATCCTATTGATTATTTCGGGGAAAATTTCCGATAATCGATCGGATTGAGATGGGTTGTTGACATCAATAATCCGTTTTGGGGGTACTTGTACAACCAAGTCTTGATGAGGCAACTTAGAAATAGGAATTATCATCAAAAACATATAGAGAGCAATTCTTACATGACAATGAGCGTACCAATAACAATGAATATCTACATTCTGTTTGGCAGCCGTGTACCAGAATGGAGCTGGCTTCTGACTCCACCAAGTGTAATGAGATTCATTCGAAGCTGTAAGAAATATTTGTTTATTTCTGACAGTCACTATCCTGAACATACCAACACCCTGCTGAAAGCTTTCGCCTGTTTTAGAATCCCAGATGTAATCAGCTATGATTCCATGATTTTCAGTATATAATCCTAAAAATTCACAACTGTTAGTTAGTAATAATCAATCAATTACATACCGGTCGCAGCACTGACCCATGTTGGCCAGTTTTGAGTTGGAAATACAGATTTTAGCCTTTCAGCTTGACCACCATGCTCAATAATTTCACGAATACCTATACCATATATGATAAGTTTGAAGGTATAGAGGAATAATCTAACCTATTGTTGATTCATGTTTTGAGTTATTCAGTAATCCAGCACCATATCCATCAATTTGTATTATAATGATATTCTGTCCAGCTGGTAATCGTGCCAAAACGACATCCAGTACAACGATCAGGAGTACTGTTAACAAATAGCAATTCATTACGCCAAGCAAGATATATATTCCTAAATATAAAAACAGAAATATATTTAAAAATATAATAAACGTTATAAAAACGTAAATGTATGATCAAGTATAAGATAACTGACACGTATATTGATATAGTTTTCAAACAACAATTATATTATGGGAGAATGAGAGTCAGGTTGCTGGACAAACTATTACAACGAGCAAGATTATGTAAAGACATAGAAATAGCTTTATGATACATTAGTCTTTAAAGATGCAAATCTCTGTCAGCACTTTAAATCGTATAGATTCATTAACAATATTTACAACAGAGTATAGAGGAGAAAGAAGATCTCAATGACAATATTACGACAAGAAAAAAGAAGAAGCACATTCACAATTATAATCAACAAAATAAAAGATGTACACAACTCACCATATCATCACTCTCCCCCACTACCACCCCCCCCCCCTTCACCACCTATCATCCCTCTTCAATCCACAGACCCACACACATCTACACATTCAGTTTGTGGCAAATGTTTGAGTGGAAATAGAGAAAAGCTTGAGAAATAATAAAAAAAATTGTCGTCTCCTTCTTCTTCATCATCTATTGCTGCTGCTCTTCAATCAATATCAATTGTCAGTTTATCTCAGCAAGCAGAAGTTCATTACACAGTTGATACTTAAAAACACGTTGTGCCAAGCGCAAACTGACAATAGTTGCCAATAGTTAACTAATATTATAATAATATTATACTTGAAGATATATGAGTATATGGATGATGATATAACATGCTAATTAGTTAGAAAAGACAATGAAATGCTTTTATAATAAGATTCCGAGAGATTTGTGCTTTTGAACGAACATATCTTACAAGCATATATAGACATGATACAGATAGAGACATGCACACATATAGACATTCACATATAACACACAGAGACACACTTGTTAAAGTGTTTGAACAATAGCTTTAATAGGATTAAGATTTCTTTTAAATCTAATTAAGAAAGAAACGAGAAAAAGATAATATGAGAGAGGATGTATATTCGTGTATGCGGTGAAACAGCTGCTGTTCTGACATGTTCTTTATCCATGCGAAAAGTGTATCAAAAGTGTAAAAAGTTTGTTCTAAACTCACATCCAATTAGTGAACAGGAAGAGAATGGAAGAAGCTCAAAACGTATTTCATCATCAATATAAGTCTCATTGAATTATGATGATTCTTCTACAGAAGCTTCAAATATGGTTTCAGCATTGGCATGTAGAACTATTGATAGACCATTCTTCTCATCATTTCATTTTCTAAATTGTATTTATGTGTAAAACAAATGAATTCTTACCATTGTTCTTGTTTTGCAATCACAAATAAGCATCCAAACTGGAAATGATTAGAACGGGTTAATTAATTGCGATTTTTCGTCCATCGCTAACTTTCTCATAGCAGTTATACTTTCTTCCTTCATTCTCTAATCAACAGTTCGTTGATTGAGTAACTTTCGTATTTCGTTCATTGTAAAGTGACGGCAGAAATAAAAAAGTAAATATCGTTGAACGTTTCCCATAATTTGATTTTGAAGAAACCATCTGTTGCAGCCACCGCGTACCCCCTTGCTCCGAATTGATTATCAAAAAAAAGAAAAATATTGATCATTATTATAATTTATTCATAAAATGAGTATAGTTAAGAACTTCAATACCAGTTTTGATCCAAATTAACATTGCATGGTCCTTTGACACTGCCAGAATATTGATGAATGTTTGGCTTGCTCCATCCGCCGAATGGTTTGAATCCGCTGTAATCTTGATGTCCATTGTAGTTGGCCCACCAGAGATTTTTGTGTGCATAATGGTCCCAGTCTCCGACAATGCTGGCCCAGTTGTAATTGTTGGTATAGATTCCCCAGTTAACCTTCAACGCATCCAATTCATTACCCATACGAGTAATGAATTGTTGGTTGCTAACTTTGTTTGAGGACCATTGGAATACTTCAATATCCAACCAAAGCATTCCGTATTTAGCACCCTCAGACTTCAGTCTGTCGACTGTTGCGCGAACCTGAAAATGATAGGAAGACGTAGAAGAATTAAGATAAGATGAATTGATGAGAAGACAGTTAGAAATTGTAAGAATATACTCACTTGGTTCTCTGGTGGAGCACAGGTGCTGTGCAAGCAAGGGAAGATGTATCCGTCAACCCATTTCCAGCCAGCAGCGTTAGCGTGCTTGATGTTAGCAATACCAGTTTCATCGTAATTACCAACAGATTCCCAGACTCTGGCTACGAAGAATTGATATCCATTCTTAGCCAAGCACTCGAAAGTGGCTGAAGTCATAGGCTAATAAACAAAAATATATTTATAATTTTTCTATTCAAGTCAAATACCTGAATGGTATCAAAGCCGGTAGTAGCAGCAGCTACTCCAACGAATAAAAGAAAAACTCCTGCTCTGAAAATAAATTTTTAAATATTTCAGAACTTTCATAACAGTTTTCAGCATACCTTATCATTTCTGGTAAAGAACGTTCTCATCTTATCGCATTTGCCTTTTATAGAAACTATTTTAGCACACTAATGTGACTTTAATCTCTGATGTCCGCTTCCATATTGAGAAGCATAAGATCAATTATCATTTGCAAAATATTAAATGATAACAACTACCCATACTACACTTTATTCCTTAAAAATTCTCTGAGAAAAAGAAAAATACTCGTTATTAGTAAATTGAAAAGCAAGTTGTTATTATAATATACAAAATAGCTTTCAATTTCAATTGATAAGCTTGATTTCCTCTTCTGATTTTTCTGATCTTTCTGTAATAGAAGCAATTGAACCTTTGTGATCTTAATTCTCTAACCATTATCAACTGCTTCACTACCGGATGTATCTTGCCGAACGTTTAAACTGTTTTTAATTGTAAGGTATGTATCTTCGTCAGTATACTCATTGATAACCGATAAGGCGCCACTAGGAGACAGAGCTGAATGAGCTGATGAAATTGCTATTGAAACTACGTATGCTATCTTATCTTTCTGTACTTTAAATAAAGCACACCATGTGATGTTTATTTAACTGACCTGTCTTGGTATTTGGTGTTTCGACTGGAGGAAAATTGAAATTTCGTCTGCAAAATCATAAATTCTGATAATAATTGGAATGTTTTCATATTACGAATTTCGATTAGATGGAAGCATCTCACAACTGGAAGGTGATTGAGGATTAGCTGATGATGACCTTAATAACACAAATATGAAAAGATAGGAAAGATGAAGGGATTAACCTGAAGTAATTGCGACTTAGTATACTTTCGGATCGAGTAATAGATGAATTCCTTTGTACATTCATCATACCATTGAGAAAGACGCTCAATACGGGTGGAGTATTGAATACCGTCTCATGTCCATCCGGAGAAATCAATACTACAATTAACTTGTAAAATGATATTGATTAATCAATATAATAACCTGTACTTCTCCGTTTACCATTTGGATAAGGAGTGGATTCCCGACTCTCATCATGACCTCTCCAATTGATGTTATCCCATAGATCAAACTTTCTTTCTTTGACATCTACTTCTGAATGGAATGTATTTAATCTGCAATGTTAGCAATGTGAAACCTGGATGAGTATTTACATTGTTTACAAACTCATTAGCTGGCTCCATCATCTCTTGCTGTTGGTCAATCAATTGTAATGCCAGCATATAGTGATTTTCGATAACCATCTGTATTGTACTTTGTTTCATTCAATTGATCCATTTTACTAATACCTGTATGATGGCAATGAACAGAGATCCCATACAGAACCCAGGGAAATAGAAACATAATAGAACTGAAATGACCAACATACAAGTTTAAATCAATAAATGTGAGAGAACTTAGTGCATTTCCGAGATTTGATGGCACTACATCACCAAAACCTACAGTAGTGAAAGAAATAACCGTAAAATAGACAGATGTGAAGAAATCCCATTTTTCAAGATAGGAAAATGTGGCAGAATAGCATATGATGAAGAGAAATGCTATAAGCAAAGAGAGCCACAAAGGAAATATCTCAAAGATGTTTTCGTCATCATACTATAAATCAATATGAGTAAGTGTCATGAACATGAAAGGATTACTTCCGATTCGTCGCCGTCTTGATTACTTTCGGTAATATCATGAGAGTGATGAATTTTCTTTTTCCATTTACTATAAAGAAAGAGTACAAGAGACTGTGATTGACAGAAAACAAACGATTTAATTGATTTCCAAATGCCTAGTAGCAATCGTAACAATGCTTTTCCAACTATGTTCATGGTTGTTAACGTCAATGGAATACCAATTAGACCATAGCAAAGGGTAACAACTTTTCCCAAGAAGGATTTACAAGTTATATTTCCATATCCTGAAATCAATTTAGAATATGAGTGTTTGGATGAAAATATGTTAAACCAATAGTTGCTATGAGGGTTACGGTATAGAATACCGAATTGGCATATGACCATTCCCAGTTATTCATATTAACTCTGTCTTCTTCAATCATCTTCTCATATAGCTTCAGATGAACCATGAATGATTCTATGCAATCAGCAATTTCTTTTCTGCTTTCATTTTTGGATACATTTCCCTGAACCAATATCAATGATCAAACAGTCATCTGTCTCAATTTCAACTTGTAAGAAGCAGTTCTCCATGAAAGGCTCCACCAAAATATTTTCTGTGAAATTTCTCATACGATTCGATTCCCTCTGTTACATTGCAACATAAAACGGAGAGCCGCTAATGAAAAACATACATTCTTCTGTAAATCTCCCAACTCTTGATGAACAGGACGTTCAATGAGCATAAACAAGAGTCCTCCGAACAGAATGAAAATAATGAAGAATAAGATGAAAAAGATATGCTTGTTTCCTAAAAGAAAAACATTTTTCAGATCTTCTATAGTATCTCTATTGAACCTAAATAGTATATTATTGATTTACATACATTCCATCCATCCCATTTTCTCTCTTCTTCTTCAGCATTACTGAACGATAGCAGTTATGTTTGAAAAAGAATTTCTCTGACGAACTCCAAATTAAAAAAAGACGGATCGCGAAAGTCAACTGTAAACTCTCCTTTGATGTCCTGCGACGGTGTATACATGTGTTTATCTTTATCAAACGTTGGTAATCTGAACATCACTCAGTTTGTTTGTCTTTACTCAAAAGTTTCCAAAAAAGTAGATAGCTGTACCGACTGAAGCTATAAGTTGACTTCCGAAGAATTGCAGCTGGACTTCTAGGTGTCAAGATAGCATCAAGATCATTCTGACTGCGTATAATAGAATTTCGATATTTAGTAGCACAATACTTTCTTAGCACCTACAATAAATGAAATACTAATGAATGAATAAAGAATGATGTCATACCTTCATGGCATCTCTCATCTGTTCTTCATCAAGAACATGAGTACTCTTATGATGTCGATTAGACATTTTCAAACATTAATATAACAATAACAATACAAAAAAAAGATGAATCTCAATATGAGAAGAATCGAAGAAAATACAGCAACGTGTTTATTCAATTTCAACGAAAAATTTTCAAAATGAGAAGGTAGACAGTGCCTAATCATTTTTAAAATTTACTCTTCTTCTTTTGTGGAAATCTTCTTAACAAATAAAAGGAGAAGAGAATAGCTAGAATGCGCGCAAATATCCTTTTTTTTAACTTAAAACAAGGGAGTTTACAGTAAATGATTGATAATCTCTACAATACAAGTACCTTATAACACTTGTTAATTACTTCTTCTAATCCTGTGTGAAAAACAAGAAGAAAAAATAATTATTTTCACTTTAATCCCTATTACATCTTTCTTCCTGTTCTCCTATCCCCCCCCCTCTTTCTTTCTACTCTCTTTCTTTCAATAACATAGAGGGCATAACTGTTTTCTTACTATTGAATCAGCCTTTTACATTTTGGCACAGCATCTTCAAACGCCCTCAAATCAATATCCCTTTTGTCATTGGGTTAGCTGGACAGATATGAAAACTCTGTGAACATTACACCAGCAGGCAGTATAGCACTTCAACAAACAGAGAAATAACATATGAACAAAGGATACCGAGGGCAAAAGCTTTGAGATTCTAGATCGTCTAAACGATGAAGATTTTGGGACACTTAATCTTTCTTTTGAGATTTCTCTCGTTTCTGTCGAGTTGAGAGCAAATAACCTGCTAGACAACGGATTGAGTGTCTACAATGATATGGAAAAATGTGTAACAATTTCCCTTCCGAACAATTTATTAAAGAAGCATTCACCAACGCATCTTACAATTCTCTCAAATTAAAGCATTTACTTACTATTTTCATTATTTTAATCAACAACGCCTTCACATTCTTTCATAATCATTAAACTAAAACATTTCTTTTATCTTATAATAGAGCTTTTTCAAGTTTTTATTAGCTTTATCTTGATTCTCACGACGTTTCTCGCCACTATTCAAGCTAATCGTTCTCCCACCCCCACGCACATTCATCTTCAACCTCTCATTTCAAAAATTTCTCTTTTTTTTTCGGCAAAAAAATTTTAATTTTATTTGTTTTCATCTTAATCGCGCTTTAGTTTACCAGCCGAACATGACAACTGAATGCAGTCTTCAAAGTGATGCTCTAAACGATAACGCGGTTTCTAAGCCTGCAGATACCACCAAGGTACTTTAGTTATACTATTATATATATATATATATATATACTGTATAGGTATCCGACATGTCTTCGGCTCTCATCAAAGAAGCACAAGATCTGTTAGATGCTAAACCATCTACCAGACCAACCATATCAACAGCAGATTGTGATATTTTGGAAAATACTTTAGGACGTACAATAGCACCAAGACATTTTACAAGGTATCATGATAACATCTAATTGAAATTAATTTGAGCTTTAGTTCAAGTTCAACATTGTTACCACGGCAATTCTCTTCTCATCAATTGAAGACAGAAAGTGATATTGAAGAGAAGATTTATAATCGTAAGGCTCCAGCCAAAGCACTACAAGAAAGCATCAACGATTCTTATCATAAGGTACAAACGGTTGTCAGCTAAGTTAACTCTTATGCTCAGGTGAAAAGAACAATCGAAACACAAATAAACGATGCTGAAGATCCATATCGTTCATCCAGACACTTACGCTCACCTACAAAACCTTTTCGTCATTTGGATGGTGCCTATGATCGCTATTCTGGGAATATGTAACGAAATGCTGTGTATCTAACAATTATATGAGAAATACTATTTAAGGTCATCAAGTAATTTATCAAGTTTACGTAGATCAGCATCTGCTTCATACAATTCACCAAGAAGCACTGCCGGTAGAAAAAAGAATTTCTTGACAAATAGAACGCACGAAATTTTATAGGTTACAGCAGTCCATATGCTGCACCAGCAGTCTCTCTCTCACAAGGCATAGAATCTCGATATGACTACATGGCAAGAGATATAGAAGATAGGTATTGACTTGCTGATTGAAGAATCAAAAAACAATGTTTATTAATAAGATTACTTCGTACTTGTCCTTTACCAAAAGAAATGAAAAACCCCAGAACCTATGTAAGACCTAGCCCAGTTGTGGACAATGACGATGATGATGATGATGATTATTCAGTTAGAAAATTTAATTCAAAAATATATAAAATAATTTTTTCGAGGTTTATGCTCCACGCACCTACTATTCGCGACCAAACAGAGATGATCCTGATTATTTCGATTACGACTTGCAACATTCGGTTGATCTGTTCAAAAGACCAGAAGGCAGATATACACCAAGAGGGTAAGAAGCTATTAGACTAACTATCATTCATTTCATTAATTAAAGACCTCAAAACTGGGAAACCAAACTTTTGAACGAGAACACCAATGGAAGTGCTCCACTTTCTGGCTACATGTTCACAAAGGTATTTTGAGACTTCAGAAAAAATATAAAATAGAGATGTTTAAAGGGAGACACTGATTGGCGTTCAAATGGATCATCATATTTGAGTGCAGCTCTAAGAACACCGAAGTTCTGGGAACAGCGTTTTGATAAACTTGGAAAAGAGATTCGTGACAGCAATCCATTGAGTCTTGAGAGTGTAAACAGGTGAAAATTTTTGAAAATAAAAAAAAAACTTAATTGTTGAACAAGTACTATATACATGAGAAGTGATGATAAAAAAATAATTTTAGACGTCTGAGAGAAAATTATGAGATAGTCAGGTAATAAAAGTAACCAAACTGCATCCCATATCAACAAACACAAATACCCCCCAAAATCTTCTTCTCAATCTATCTTAAACACTTTTCACTTTCTACTAGATGAATATTTCCAAATTCTTTTACAAATCTTTTCTATTTCAGAAACAGACCTATCGCTAGCCGATTTACTGAATACCGTGATCCAGACCTAGATTATGAAAGTGATTAATCGTACTATGTATCAAAAAAATATTAAATAGAATTGGTAGAACCAAATTCATAATATCAATCATGTATCGTATATAAGGGAAAGAAATGAAATTATTACTTGTAATGTTGTTGACTTCAAAATGAAAAACACTCTCCTCCTATATATATATATATAGAGGAAGGAGCAGATATCATTATCTTCCATCAGAGATTAACGCTTAAGGAGAAGAAGCAGGTTTGTGACAACTTCACATATGTTGTTCAGTGTTTATATATATTTATATGTCAAAAAGAATGTCACAATGCGGAGGGCTCTACTATTTAATCTCACGGTTGTCTTGTTTTTATTACGTGTCATTGCACTCAACTTTCGTGAGTGGCACGGACAGCTGATGGACAATGATAGGATTAAAGACTTAAAATAGTTCACTCTTGTTTTCGACTCATTCAATGAAGCGTTTAAAGTTGG